CACCACTGGACCACCTGTTTCACTTCCCTAAGATAATAAATCAAACCAACTAAACATGCCTGGGGAACTGCAGAGATTAGTGACCAGATATTTGAAAGATGCCTACTACGTCTTCATTTAACTCAATTATTTGGCCAGTACAAGTCAAGTAGGTTTTGGAGAATGATAATGAAGTATCACAAACTTGCCAACCATGTTTGCAGATGGAGAATTTTTACTACAGGAAATCAGCACAGCTGATTTGGTAACTAGTGGTGCAGCTAATTATCAAGCAAATGCTCCCCCACCCCCAATTCTTAAAAAAAAAATCAGAGGCAAGTTGCCTCCAAGATAAAAGAAGCCCTTCACTGTCACCTAGCAATTAATGTCAACTCTCCTTCTCAGTCAAGCATACTCCAAAAGTCCCTTAATTGCCGGATAGCCCATGGAGAGCTACACTGCTTTTTAACAACATTATGCTAACCGGACCTGGTGAGAAAGAAATAACAAGTTTTCTAAATGCCTTAATAAAAAAATACAGATGGCAGAGGGTAAGAGTTAAATCACGTGAAAGTTCAGGGACTTGTCACATCAATGAAGCTTCTAAGGTTCCAGTGGTCTGAGGCATATAAAAATAGACCTAAAGTGAAGAGAAGTTGCTTCATTTTGCACTACCCACTAAGAGGGGGAAAAAAGAGGCATGAAACTTGGTGGGTTTCTTCAGATTCCGGGCATACTGCTTACTAGATAACCAATAAGGCTTACAGAGGGGTCCAAGGTAAGAAAGGGTTCAAGCAGGCTGTGGCTCAAGCTGCCCTGCCACCTGCGCCTTATGACTCAGCATATCCAATGGTACTGGAAATGTCCATACCAGAAAGACATCTAGCTTCCAATAGAATGATGGTGCACATTCCAGGGAGTATGGGCATGACCTCTTCTGCCAACAACTATTTTCCATTTGCAAAGCAACTACTGGTTTACTACTAGACCCTGCAGCAGAGACTGAACACATGACCATGGGACTCCGAAAGACTATGTTACCTGAAAGGACCATCATGAACTGAGTACAGTATGAAGCTCTGAAGAATAAAACTGGACATGTGCAGCAGCTTTCCACTTTTAAACGGAAACAACACATCTGGACTAGGTCAAGCAGGTTTATAAAGCACAAACAAACAGCATGAACATGTGACTCAGAATCCAGTGGGACTTGCTCCCACTGCTTCTCCACCTCTCCCTCATTCCACACCTATAGCCTCATAGAGTTCCCCATGTTCAAGCAGAATAGGACAAAGCACAAATCTGAACTATAAATAATTCTAGCACCACTGAAGTGTGACCCTGAAAGACAATGCAAGAAAATCCTACAGTGGAAAGAACATTGGGAAAAAAAAATATCTGGTTGTACATTCTTTGTAGCAGCAGAGATGACCTCAAGTACACGTCTACACTGATCCACAGGCAGTTAGATACTCATGGGTTGGCTGGCTGGTCGGGGACTTGTAAAGCACAAGATTAAAACACTGAAAATTAGAAAATGGTGTGAGAAGTTAAGTATAAGAATACATTTCTTAGGCTAGGGATAACAAGAAAATATTCATGTTGTTATCACAAAAATGACCATCAGAGGGCACCCACTGCAGAAGGAGCCCTCAAAAATCAACTGGCAAGATCATCTATCCAGTAGATGTCACAGACACTTTCCCTGCCCACCTTGCTCAATATACACAGCAGTCGTGGTGGCAAGAATGGAGGCTGTGCATGGGCCTAATGACATGGTCTTCCTCCCACCAAGGCACTGCTGAGTGCCACCTCCCAGTAGAAGATGACATTAAACTTCTAATATGGGACTTTCCCAGAAAGGACCAGTCACTTGGTAGAAAAATAACATTAGAGAGTACATATCATACATGGGGGACAGTGATTTGTCCTTACAAGAACAGACATGTATTCTAGATTTTCCTTCCCTAACTACAATATACAATTGACCCTTAAACAACTCAGGGGTTAGGGGCACCAACCATCCACAGTCAAAAATCCATGTATCACTTAAGTCAGCCATCTGCATCTGCAGATTTCCAGCTGCAGATGAAAAATACAGTTGACCCCTGAACAACAAGCCAGTCCACTTATACACAGAAACCCACATGAGTGGACCCACACAGTTTAAACCTGTGTTTCAATAACCCGTACATATTTCCAATCAAGTGTATAGGGAAGTGTGGCAATGGACTCTTTAAACACACAAAATGTATTGGTTTTGTGCTATACCCTATCATTCAGAAGCAGCTGGCATGATCAATTACTAAAGGCTCAGTTATAGCAACAATTGAAAGGCCTCCAATAGGATGCTAGTGGACAATATACAGGGTCACTTCTCCACAGCTCAAAGAGAGATGGGAACCAAGAGGTAAAGTGAGAGTGACTATTTTCACTATTGCACCAAAAAGGCCACTGAAAGGGTCTTTGCTTCCTGTCCTTGTGACCTTAGGTTCAATGTGTTCAGAGGTCCTAGTGGTCAAGGGAGCAATGCAACCACCAGGGCACATAGTCATGGTTCCCATTAAACTGGAAGCTGAGACTGTCCCTTGACCACTTCAGGCTCCTTATACCACTGAACCAAGAGGCAGAGAAAGAGGTCACTGTACTGGCTGGAATGACTAATCCCAATGATCAAACAGGAATTGAGGTTCTGCTATACCAGTGATGGCGAACCTATGACACGCGTGTCAGAGGTGACACACGAACTCATTTTTTTTGGTTGATTTTTGTTAAATGGCATTTAAATATATAAAATAAATATCAAAAGTATAGCCGAAACCGGTTTGGCTCAGTGGATAGAGCGTTGGCCTGCGGACTGAAAGGTGCCGGGTTCGATTCCGGTCAAGGGCATGTACCTGGGTTGCGGGCATATCCCTAGTGGGAGATGTGCAGGAGGCAGCTGATCGATGTTTCTCTCTCATCGATGTTTCTAACTCTCTATCTTTCTCCCTTCCTCTCTGTAAAAAATCAATAAAATATATTTAAAAAAAAAAAATCAAAAGTGTAAGTCTTTGTTTTGCTATGGTTGCAAATATCAAAAAATTTCTATATGTGACACGGCACCAGAGTTAAGTTAGGGTTTTTCAAAATGCTGGCACGCCGAGCTCAAAAGGTTCGCCATCACTGTGCTATACAATAGGACAAAAATTACATGTGGAATCCAGGGCATTCACCAGATTGCGTCTAAGCTCTCAGTTGGCCATCCTAGTCAATGGAAAACTACAACAGCTCAAACACAGAACAAGCAGGATGCAGATCCTACAGGAATGAACGTCTAGATCAGACCAAAAGAAATGCTAGCAAAAGGAAAGGGGGAAATGGAATGGGTGGAGGAATAAGGAAACTGTGTATATCAACTTTCGCCTTGACACCAATGAGAGAAAGCAAGACTGTAGCAATTCAGTTCTACATTCTTTTACCCAGTTTTCTTTCCACTACCTAGATTAGTACAGGAACCTCTTAACTAGACTCCCTAATTCTTGTATCCTCTCTGCCCAATTCATACAACACAACACATCTAAAGTATCCTTCCATAAGGTATAAGGTAAATACTCATATGCAAGGAACATTGAAAAAGAAATTCCTTAAATGAGGAAATTGGACCTAATGAATCTTTAAGGATTCTTCTAAATCCAAGATTCTGATTCTTAGTAAAATATGACATTTTAAAAATCTATACAGCTCACCTCAAGTAAGTTGGAGAGGAAAGTTCATGCCATACCTCAAAGAAAACCAACTCTCACTACATCTTTGGTCTATTTAATACAGGTTCCCCTGAGAGAGTAAATTAAGTTCTTGGGTTGTCAAGGACTTTCCTAGAATGGAAACGTATTCGAAATCTATACATCTAAATGCGGGCGGGGGGGCACTAGATTTCAAACACCTTATCTAAAATTTCATTAGCCACCGATGTCACATAAACCAGGTCGGCCAAGAAACAAAAAACAAAACTGGGCCCTGGCTGGTTTCGCTCAGTGGGTAGAGCATTGGACTGGGGACTGGAAGGTCCCGGGTTTGATTCCGTCAAGGGCACATGCTCAATCCCCCAGTAGGGGGCGTGCAGGGGGCAGCCGATCAATGATACTCTCATCAATGTTTCTCTCTCTCTCTCCCTCTGGAATCAATAAAATGTATTTTAAAAAAAACAAACCCAAAAACTGGCCTCTTAGTAGCCAAGTTAAGCCAGTGTGTGCTCTGGTGGATTTGTTACTGCTTACAATTGTTGACAATGTACTTACCACAACAGATTTTCTCTGGAAGTTTATGTTGTTGATGCAGACGACCTGATGGGTTGTATATTAAAAAAAAAAAAAATACAAAAATATTTCTATTATTAAAATGAAGCATAATTCTATCTAAGTATAAGCAAAGACTATGTCCTAAGCAGCTCAAAAATCACTTTATCTTTCATTTTGAAATACTACAAATTTGGGTAACTTGCTTTTCAATTTAGCAACAGCCATGAAAATAAACTTCTTCGGACAAATACAGTTTTGCATTTTAAGAAAAGAAGGTTTATTAACCTGCAGGGGGCATTAAATCTGTTGAATTGCACTGTCGGGCAAAGCGTTTCGCCCTACAAATGGCATTTCCGTCGCAGAGAGTGGGTTCTCGTTTCCCACTAGGTTTCCCAAGCCCGGGTCAGTTTCACGCAAAACCCAAAACAGAACGGATGAGAGCCAAACCCCGAAGAGGAAAGGGCGATGGAAAAAATACTTATAATTTATACGGCCTTGGGCTTTCAAAGCCCTTGTCTCCTTTCTTCCTGTTCATTCTGGCGGGCTCCAAGCCGGTGGGCGGCATGAAGCGATCCCGCGGAGCTGGGCTGCCCGGCTTCCCCGAGGGCGGCGGGCATCACCCGGCGCCGGCCCCGCCGCTCCCGCTCCCCGCAGTCACGCCTCCGGCCGGGCTCCCCGGCGCCCACGGCCGGCCCCGCCGCCTCCGCCTCCGCCTCCAACTCGCTCCCCAACGTAGGATCCCTTCAGCCGCCCTCGCCAAGCTCGGGTCATGGAGATGCTGCTCTCAGCCACCGCTCAACACCACCGCCACTCGACATCCTGCCTGTCACCTGTGACCTCCGACGTCAGCGGAAATGCGACGGCGCCGGAAGTGTTGGTGAGTCTCGGGCGGGGCTGGCGCGATACTGGCGGGTTCCGTATTTGCCATTCAGTGTCTACGTAGTGAATGAGAGCTGCTCAAGTTTAGGAAAGCGAACGCAAATAGCTGTAGTGTGAGTTGAGACGAGCAGGAAGGAAAAGAAGCGGCATTTAAATGTTAGCGGAGCGAAGGTCTGGCGCATGCGCATTGAGAAGTGGGGCGGGGGGCAGGTGTGAGATGAGCCCGGGGACTAGGAACTGGGGAGTCACTGACACCAGGAGGGCTGTGCCTCTGGTTTGCTGTGTGAACAGACACCATCAACTCACTGGGCCCCTGGAGATTAAGTTGTTATAAAATATGTAATTCGACCCGTGATACTCTGACTCAAATTCCAGAGCACTGCTGACTCCGTATTTTAAAAAATAGAACAAAAGATCCACACAGATGCAGAAAAACTTGTTGAAAGACAGGCAAGATGCTGTTGAAGCATCGCATCTATATTTCATGTGCGTGAGAATAAAAACTTTGTAAATTTAAACAACAGTTAAATCTTGGTTGTGAAATACCCATTAATATTATTTTTAACCTTGGACCAGACTTAACTTTGGCCTATCCCCTCCAACTGTCCCCATGGTAAGTTCATTAGTTAAGATGAATTTGAAATTTGGTCTAAACAAAAGCAAATTAGGGAAGTAAAGCTATAAAAAAAATTTATCAAGCATTCCAAAACCAACTAGATACTGTAGTTTTCTAGTGAGTATTGCCTGTGTGAGTTTCTCCGTTACAGGATTGTTGGCAGAGGTGAGAAGACACTGGGTGTTAGACCAATGGGGTCAGACCAGACCTGGGTTCAGCAACCTCCAGACTTGAGTTATGGCTAGGAAAGAATTCAGTCAAGACTCAAACTATAAGAGAGCATTTATTTAGAACATCACAGAGGTAGGAGTAATTTGTAAAAGAAATGGACTTGGGAAACAAGTTATAGAGGCAAACGATGGGCCCTTGGAGCTTAGAAGTGCGGAAGGTAAAGGTGATGCACCTGAGGGGAGGGGGAAAGGGAAGACGCCCATTCTCCAGGAGGGGAGAGGGAGCTGGGTCCTCTGTCCTGAGGACTTTAAGGGTGGAGATTTTAGCGGAGGCCCCAAGGGAAGATCTCAATAGAATATTCAGCAGTTTCCCAGGTGTGTCCTTTCTGGGTAGGGGTCTCCACTGATTGGTCTAAGCCAGGGCAGGGGGTCATTATTCAATGCAACTGGTCCTGAGGTAGCCTCTATTGTCTAGTTTTGCTGCTTTTCTGGGCCTGGAGTTGAAATACAACTGAGGCCTAGATGTTATCTCTAGGGAGGAAAGGTCAGGGGGTCTCAACTACATGACCAGCGATATGCTAGGGGAGGAAAAATCACCTTGGGGACAAGTTCCTACCCTATAACTGTCCATTGCTAGGAACCTGGGTGATCTTCTGTCCTTGGCCTATCATCCTTGCTCTGCTCATGTCTGTCTACCTGCCTACCACAGGATTATAAACTGCAGTATTATTATCCTTCACATCGAATTGAGGATCAAATCCATTTCATCCCATTTCAGCCAGACAAATGGAGGAGCAATTATCAAGTCAATTTCATCAATGAAAATGAGTAATGTAGATAACTGGTAGCATGTAGTGACTTCCTGTTTTGGTGGGAGGTTGAAACTAGATGGGAACCCACTTGCTTGAGAAGTGGCATTTAAGTGCATAAATAATTCTCTTGGCTATTTAGTTCTCCAAAAAAATTTAAATTTATTAATGATTACAATGTCAAATCCTAATGAAAGAAATACAATATTAAATATTTAAAAAGCAAATATTTTCAATAAAACCAAATGAACTATAGAGATATACTAAACATAAGAAATAACACTTTCTTCTGTCCTTGTTTATACTGTGTACCTAATACAAACATAACTTGAAAGACGGAATAGCCTATTACATTTAAGAAAAAAGAAGAGCAGTAGTTTCAAAATGCTTAAGATGAAAAGAAAAATGCCTCATAGTACAAGGTTTTTAAAAGTCTGAAATACAAATGCATAAAAGCATATTTTTCCTATAATAACCAGCAACTTTATAAAGGAACTTTAGTTGCAAAGAAAAGACTGTTGTTCTTTTAAGAAATGGGTCTTCTTGAGTTATAAACTTTAACACCATTTTGCATCGAAGATCGAGAATATTTAGTGAGTAATGCACCTATGGTTTGCTTCTCTCCACACAAATCTCTGTAGGAACAATAAATAAATAAATAAATAGCATAAATATTTTAGGGGACATATTATTCACAGTACTATTTATTTATATTTTTCTCTCCTAAATCTCATAGGGTATGTGTGTGTAGGAGAGACAGGGTAGGGACCAGTTACTAAGCCTTAATTGACCAGGTGCATTGAATGTATTATCTTCAAACTTCACAAGAAGAGTATGAGTAATGTATTATTTAACCCCATACTAGATATGAGGAAACTGAGGCTCAGGAAGTAAAGGACAATCCACATTTTGCAGCCAGCTCTCTATGACTTCAAAGTTTTTGTTTTCCATTTTATCACACAACCTCCAAAGTAGAAATACAAGCAAGCAATGTGATACAGGGGGGTCTAGACTCAGAGAACCTGGATACTAGGCTACCTGTGTGAGCTTGTCAAGGTTACCTGCCCTCCCTGAACTTTAGCTTCCTCTTCTGTACCCCAAAAAAGAGAATATTAGGACGGACACATAATGAGGAAAGGGAAGAATAGGAAGAGAGCAAGAGTTAGATCACGTAGGACCTTGAAAACCATGGAAAGAAGTAGTGATTTAATTCTAAGCATTATGGGAAGCCACTAAGAGAGTTTTAATTAGTGGAAAAGCATAATCCATCTAAGTTTTAAATAATGGAGGCAATGAGTGATGATTATGGAAAGTAGGTGTTGAGTTCATGGAGCATTCATTATACTATATATTCACAAAAAGTGAAAAAGAGGGAGAAGGTAAGGGGGCAAAATAGAAGTAGGGAGACCAATTCCAGGAAATTTTAGCTGCCCGGGTGAAGGCACAGAGCAAGCAGAAAGTTGGGTTTAATCTTTGTATATTTTTGCCTGGGAGATATGAGAAGACAGAGAGAGGGGATCAAAGGAGTGGAGGGTATAGAGTAATAGTTGGAGAAATTGACCAGGTAATCCAATCTGGGTAAAAAGAGAGGACCTAATAGGTGAGACACAGCGAAGAGAGGGAAGTGTTAGTGGCTTCTGGGCTAACTTGTTCTTCTGCAATCTGGCTTCTACAAGATATTAAAGCAAGGCAGCAGGAAAGGTAACAGGTGTCACTCAGAGATGGGTATATAGTCTGACTGTACCTCTAGGAGCCGCAATTTTGCAGGGAGGAGGGCAGAAAAGTGATTTTAGAAGAAGTAGTAAGTGCCCGGCTGGTGTGGCTCAGTGGTTGAACATCAACCTATGAACCAGGAGGTCAGGGTTCAATTCCCATTCAGGGCACATGCCCAGGTTGTGGACTCCACAGTAGGGGGCATGCAGGAGGCAGCCAATCAATGATTCTCTTTCATCATTGATGTTTCTATCTCTCTCTCCCTCTCCCTTCTTCTCTAAAATCAATAAAAATATATTAATATATATGTGTGTATATATATGTGTGTATATATATATATATATATATATATATATATATGAATTAATAAGGAAGAAAGATAACACATACCCTACCTTCAGGATCAGTGGTTATGAGGATAATATAGAAGACAGCCTCCACTTGAGAAAATTTCAAAGGAAGCAGTGTCCTTGGGAAATACTCAAAAATAAAAGTGTTCTAATAAAAATCCAAAACACTATGCCACTCTTTATTAAAAGAACAGCCCTCAAAATTGATATTTAATTTAATAAAGTACTTACTGAATATATGGAGCAATATCTTCTTCTGTCCATTTCTCCCTTAGAGAGAATAGACTATTAAAACGTTCCTGATTATCTTCAGGTAAATCATCTACTTTTAGCAAAAATATGATTTCTGGTCTTGACTGTCTATCCACCAAGGCCAAACCCTATTAAGAAATGAGAAAAAGAGTAAAGTAATGGTCTAATGTTTAAATACAGCTTATTCTTTTATGTTTAGGTTTAGCTTAGTCCAGGGCATTTAAAATGTCAGCTACATGAAACACAAGCTACTGAAACCTAATAATTTTTTTTTTCCATAGAAATGCTTCTTTAAAAAAAAAAAGAAAGAAAAAAGAAATGCTTCTTTAAACTTTGACTTCTTTGACTTCTCCTTTTTCCTCTGTAACCTGGCTTCTACCACACCAATTTATAAAGACAGCTCTAGTTCAAGGTTATCAGTAACCAGTCATTGCCACTGGGCCCTTGGATTCATCACATTAGCTGTTTTCTTTGTTAATGTTGATTATTCCTTCCTCTTTGAATCTTTACCTCTGACATCACCATCTCATTATTTCCCTCCTAACTTGATGTCACAGTTCCTTGGGCCTCTATCCTGCCCCTCTACTCATCTCACTGTCAGTTCTGTATAACCTCAACTAAACCATGATTTCGACGACCGACTACTTGCTAATACCTGTAAGATTTATCTGCAATTCAAATGTCTCTTTGACTGAGCACCTGATCTGTATATACAAACCTATATATGAACTTACAGTATCTGTCACCTAAACCTGCTCTAGTCTCACTGTCCTAGGAAGCCAAGAAACCGAGATATCACCTTAGATTCCATTATTCGAACCCCACACCTAAGTGGTCACTATCCTATAGGTTTTAAGCCCTCAACATTTCTCTATCCATTCTGTATCACTTATTTCTTTAGCTACTACTGTCTTAGTTAGGAATATTTAAGTGTTGAGAGCCTGGATAGTCTCCTTTTCATCATCTAGCCAACCTTCATCCATCCATCCATCCATCCATCCATCCATCTATCCATCTATGCATCCATCCTCATTACCGTCATAGTGTTCTTTCCAAAAGGCAAAACTCATCAGGTTACTTTCCTTGCTACTACACTGAATGAGCCCAAATACTTTCTAGATAGTTTAGGACGTTGATGGCACCTCAGGATCTAGCACAGTGCCTAAGACTTAAAAGGACTTCTGCAAATATTGAGCAAACCCTTTCTCTTATTTTGCAAATACTTATTGAGTATACACTACATGCCAAGCAGGATGCTAAATATTGGCAAGCAACAGCGAACAAAATTCTATCAAAGTGGAGGTGGGCAGCCACATAATTAACACTTTTAAAGCAAAGTGATAAGTGCCATGAAGGAAAAATACAGGGTGTTATGGAAGAGTAAAAGAGAGGCATTTTTTTTTAGAGTGAAGGAAGCCTCTTTGATGAAGTTACTCAAAGATGAGTAGGAGGTAGCCAGATGATATTAGGGAGATCATTCTGGAACAAAAAGCCTTGAGTGACAGCCCTAAGCTAGAAGCCAGCTTGATGATCTTGAAAATTTGAAAGAACACTGGGTATGTATTGAGTAGGACAGAAATTATGAAGGGGAGATTATGGAAGGCCTTGTAGGCCAAAATATGAATTCTGGATTTTATATCTCAAGTGCATTGGGCAACCATTAAAGTGATTTAAGCAAGACATTCATCTAATCTGACTGGCATTTTTTTAAAGATCATTCCAGTAGCACCACAGAGAATGGACCGGAGCAGGGCAAAATTAAAAGTATGGAAGGCCTGGTTAGGGATATTACTGTTATTTATAGCCAAATGAATATGATAGTTTGAGCTAAGATGGTGCTGGTGGAAACTGAGAAAAACCAATGGAGTGGGAATCAGGATTAACTATTTATGGGCCTGAGGGATTTCATCGAGGTGATACTGTTCTAGAACTAGATTGTGGTGATGGCTGTGTAACTCACTAAATTTACCCAAAACCCTTTTTAAAGAAATAAATTTTGTGATATGTAAATTATACTTCAATAAAGTGTTGGGTTTGGGTTTTTTTTTTTTAGAGGATTTTGTGATAGACTGAGAGTATAGTATACACTTAACGGGTAGCTAGGAAAATAAATTGGTTCCAGATTCAGTTCCAACATAAATTTCGTTTCACCTAGTAACTAATGATGATCTGTTGTCATGGTAGCCATCATCATTGCTAGCTCACCTTAAGCTGCTCAAGCCTGGTTATCATTCCTTCAGGGACGCTCTGCTGCCACACTTCCTGAAACTCGGCGAGGTTGAACTTCACTGCATTCTGAAGTAGCATTTGTGCTGTTGCTCTACAGATTTTATCAGCGCTCAAGTCAAAATATATTTCACCTGGGGAAAATAAAGAACTAAACTTCACCTAAAGAAAAGGCTTCCAATGCTTTCATATTATCTTCACCATGTGATACACTCCTATTGTTTCTTTTTCCTCCATGAAATCCCCAGAAGGAATTCTACACAACTCACCTCCCATGATCCATGGAGTCCTTATTTTGGACAGAAACACACCTCAGGAAAGCATACCAATTTTAACATACAAGATTTTATACCCATTAAAATACTTTCCAAATCTTACCTTCCTCTGTATATCTTCTTCCATAACACTTAAGACAGTGTTCAATCATTTCTCTGAAAAATTTAAAACACTCATTTGAAAAGTTATCACATTTTTATACATTATATTTTATATACCACTGTTAACTAGAAACTAAGATATACATTTGTGATTTGAAATAGTAAAAGTGATTTTAGCTGCCAAGTAAAACTTTACATTAGGAACTAACTAATATATACTAGGAAGCTACTATGTACCAGATCCCATGCTAATTATTTTTACATGAATTATATGAGCACAATTCTATTATAAAATAGTTAGCATAATTATTTATTTGTATTTTTAATGCAAAAATAACATAATGCACATTTATTCACGCCAGTACTCAAAATTCCAAGCCCTTCTTGGTTGTATAATTTTTAAATTTCTATAAACTATCAAAATATAAGTAGTCTATGCCCTGGGTTTAGTTCCACCCTGGAAAATAATTTCCTTCGCTTTAAGGAAATCTGGTGTGACAGGGATTAAAATACTTACTCTGGCTCTAATGGTCCAAGTTCCTGAAGGCATATATTCAAAGGAACTTTAGTAAAAGACCATGATTCAGAATCCACAAGCTGAGTTACATGATTGAGAAGTTTCATCTCATAATCAAATTCAAGAATCCTCCAATAACCTACAAATTCAAAGTTATATTTCTCAAAGAACATATTAAGCAAATTAATTGGCTAATAAACTGATAAAGTAGCAGCGTGCTCTTGCCCACCACAAAAAAAAAAAGAGACACTAAAAGTCTTTACTTTAAAAAAAAAAAGTCTTCACTTTCCTAATAAACAATACTTCATTTTATGCTTTCCTCGCATTACAAATTGTGGTTTTTAAAGAGTAGTTCAAATATGACTAACACTGATTTTTTTTTCAAGTGCTTTAATATTAAAATCAATATCTCACAATAATCTTGTTCTAAATGGACGTGGCTGGTACAGTCATTTCATTAGAATGTCATACTAATGAGGTGAAGGCCATGGGTTCGCTCTCCCACACCGCAACCTCCACTGGGGGCACTGCCATGGGCATCACTCTCACCTCAGCTAGCCTGCAAGGGGGTTCTCACGCTCAAAAGGAAGTCTAGTTCATTCCAGAGATAACAGACTCAGAGGTACGATGTGGACCAGTGGCAAAATAAAGGCTGGGCATCAAGATACCCTCCCCTAGTCCCGTGAAAAATGAAAAGCCATCTTATAATCAAAGGCACTACCATCACCCATTGAGAAACAAATCAAGTACACATCTACCACTTCCAAAGGATAATGTTGCTATTCTTAATCTGAAACATAAAGGCAACATTAAAAATGGAGTTGTGATGTAACACTGAGAAAGAAAGCATTTCCTATGCTTAGGACCAAGTGAGCTAAGTGTTTCTAGTTCTCAAGTCAGGCGCAGTTGCTTTACTCAGCAGAATTTGCCACACATTCAAGTTAAGGTTTCACAAAAGTTAATCTTGCTTGAAAGATTGTGAGCAAATTGAATAGTGAATCTATCAACCCGTGCCGATTTCCTCCTTCTTCACACATGGGTGCTGAGTTAAGCTGCTTCTCTGGGCTAGCTTAAAAGGGCTGACAAATGCACATAAACGCCTACTCTTACTGCAGGCCCAGATGCTGGGGAAAAAACTCCAACTGCAGACCGGAAACCAGTCAAAACACTTAAAGAAGATACTACTGGGCTTCTTCCTCAACCCCTGAGACCAATACACACTATTCTATCTTTTACATAGGTTTACTATAAAACCATTTATATTCAAAAGCATGTTACATGTTATCACAAGAAGAAACACAGTCTTATCTTCCAAGCAATTTGGAAATACAATGAGGTTATTAAATTAATTCCGAACCAGGAATTCAAGTTCAAGTTCACCTGGGTTCTATGCCTTATCACTAACTCAATAGGTAGCCCTGGACAAGTCCGTTTCCCTTAAAAATAGGCCTTAGTTTCTTCACCTAAGAAACTAAGAAAAACAATGAAGGGATTAGACTACCTGATACCTAAGACCTTTCTTAAGCTAACATGGTTCTCCTACTACCTCTTAATCCAAAGCAAAAGGTTAAAGTACTGGTCATGGACTGACCTCTTCATGTAAAGAAAATCACATGTATTCTCTACCCATTCCCCAAAATACAAATATCATCATCTGTGAGCCTCCAAAAAGAATAAACAAAACATAATAGGGTGAAGATGTCCAAAAACTTGTCTCTTTTTCTCTTATATGATGCTCAATTCCATCATCATTATTAATAACAATGACAAGTAAAGCTACCTCCAATCTCACAGGCATTTAGAACTTGTAATTGGGCCATTATTTCTTCCTCACTCGCCTGAATTTGGTCAAGCAAATCTTCAGTTGTATACTGAAACAAGAGAAAACGAACAAACAACATTTTAAGACCTTTGAATAATATTTTTTAAGATTCTTGAATTTGGGAGAATACATAAAGTAGATTAAGGCAATATTTAAACACTAGCTCAATTCTTTTGTTAATGTGTAATGATTACTACACAAAATCAGTAGATATCTTTTAAAATATATATTTTTTATTGATTTTTTACAGAGAGGAAGGGAGAGGGATAGAGAGTTAGAAACATCGATGAGAGAGAAACATCGATCAGCTGCCTCCTGCACACCCCCTACTGAGGATGTGCCCACAACCAAGGTACATGCCCTTGACTGGAATCGAACCTGGGACCCTTCAGTCCTAAGGTCGACGCTCTATCCACTGAGTCAAACCGGTCAGGGCATCAGTAGATATCTTAGAAGAAAGCATAAGTGATGTTGGATTTAATAATGGTTTCTTAGATAGGACACCAAAACACAAGCAACAAAAGGAAAAATAGATAAATTGGACGTCATCAAAATGAAAAATTTTTATACTCTGTTCTTCAAAACATCATCAACACAAAAGGACAACTATTGCATGATTCCACTTACATGGGATAGTTAGAGTAGTCAAATTCATAGAAACAGTAAGTAAAATGTTGGTCACGAGAGGCTGGGTGGCAGGGGAATCTAGGGATTTAGTGTATAATAGGTATAGAATTTCAGCTTGGGGAAAATAAAAAATTTCTGTAGATGGATGGTGGTGATGGTCACAAAATAAGGTGAATATACTTAATGCCACAGAAGTATCCACATAAGATTAAAATGGTAAATGTTATGTTATGTATATTTACAATTCTTAAAAAAATCAAGAAAGTGAAAAAACAACCCACAGAATAGGGGAAAATATTTGCATATCATCTATCTGGTAGGAACTTGCATTTAGACTGTATAATGAACTCTCCTACAATTTAGGAACAAAAAGACAAATAACCCGATTAAAAATTGGACAAAGGAGTTCCTAAATAGACATTCTCCAAAAATATATAGTCAATAAGCACATGAAAAAAATGCTCAAAATCATTAGTCATTAGGGGAATGCACATCAAAACCACAATGATACCATTTCAAACCCACTAGCATGGGTATTAAAAAGACAGAAAAAAAACAAGTTTTGTCAAAGATCTGAAGGAATTGGAACCCTCATATGATGGGAATGTAAAATGGTGCAGCCACTGTCTGGCAGTTCTTCGAAAGATTATGCAGAATAAGCACATGACCCGTTAATTCTACTCTTAGATGCATACCCAAGAGAAATGAAAACGTAGTGGCTCAGTTGGTTGAGCATTCTCCTGTGCATCTAAAGGTTGCCAGTTTGATTTCCATTCAAGGCACATACCTAGGTTTCGGGTTCCATCCCCAGTCAGGGAGCCTAGGGAAGTCAACCGATCCATGTCTCTGTTTGCCGCCCCCCTCCTCCCCCCCACCCCACTTCCTCTAAGCATGGCCCTGATGGATTATTTAAAAAAAAAAAAAAAGTTTAGAAAATTTAAGTGCAACAGTAACTTGTATATGAGTGCACACAGCACAGCAGTGTTGTTCATCTCAATTAAAAATGCCCATCAACTGATGAATGGATGGATGAAATGTGGATATAGCCATAAAGTAGGGTAATATTCAGCAATAAAAAGGAATTAACTACTGATACATGCTATAATATGAATGAAACTTGAAAACATCATGCTAAGTCAAACAAGAAGCCAATCAGAGAAGGCCACAAATGATATAATTCCATTCATGTGAAATGTCCAGAAGAGGCAAATCAATAGAAATAGAAAGTAGATTAGTGGTGGCCTAGGGCTGAGGTGGAAGAGGGAAATTGGGAAAAATAGAATTGGAAGGTAATAGCTGAAGGATACAAGGTTTCTTTTGAGGCTGATGAAAATGTTCTAAATTTCATCAGGGTGATAATTGCACACCACTGTAAATATACTAAAAAACATTGAATTATATATACACTTTAAAAATAAGTGAATTGTTTGGTATATAAGTTATATCTAAATAAAGGTGTAACCCCCCCCTCCCCCCCAAAAAAAATCAATGGAGAAAAAGAGAACTTCTAATACAAATATGGTCTTCAGAATACCAGTAGAGTTCTATAATTTTGAATTACATTAAAAACTCTTAAAAACATTTTTACTTGGTTTATATTTTTCCATATTTCCAAGAATTAGTCAATTTTGACATTAGAGTAAGAATACTTTTTACAATGTATTCCTATACTTACCATAATGTCTTTTCTAAAAAGTCCCTAATTATAACTTTCAATTAAATAAAAATCTAACTTGTAAAAAACTATTTTTGCATAGTTAGGAACATGAGCTTTCAGCCAGGTAAATGTCACCATATGTAGAATTTGCTTTAAAATACTCCAGAAAAAGGAAAACAAGGTAGGAGGAAGCAGGGGATAGAAAAAAGCAAGACTGACAAAATATTGTTAAATGTTCAACTGAGTGATGAATACACGGTACTCTTTCTGCTTCTGGATAGGTCTGAAATTTTCATAATATAAAGTTTAAAATGTAAAAATGTCACCAGTAAGTGCCTGTAATTATAGTTCTATTTTTTAAATTCCAAATAAAAAGTGAAAATAATAGTCTTACTTTTGAGCAATTGGAATCCTTTTCCTTTTGACTGTCAGGTCCTTCATAGGTATTTGCCATTAAAAGTCTCTTTAGCTTCTTTAATTTAGGTCTACATCTTCTTAGTTCCCAATAATTATTAGAAAAACCAAAGATCTAAAAATTATAAATATATTATAACTTTTTAGGGTTCATTCTAAAAGAAAAATCTCAAACAATTTCAACCCACCCATCTGCCCTCAACAAGAAGCAAAGGGAAATGGTTGTTCTGCTTTCTGTTGGGAAGGCACCGATCCAGCGCCTCAAACAGGTGGATAGGCATCTTCAGGAATCTTTTCAAACCCCATTTCAGAAGCTACTGCCAACACAGTGAGAACCAATAACTGAGCTCCGTATCTCACGTGTACTTTGGAAACCAGAGTATGCCCAGGGAAGAATAACCAGAAAGGTGACAATTTTACAAACAAAATAGAAACAACTGAAAATGAATACTTTTAGACTGAACAACAGAAAATAAACAAGAGACATTGCACGGTCTTCAAATAATGACGAAATGTTAAAGGGAAGAGGGAACCTTTGTTCTGTGTTACTCATGATGTCAAAATTAAGCCAACGATAAGGGAGAAAAACTTCAAGAACGCTGTACTATTTAGAATTGCAGCTAGCTCCTTATTGGACTGGTGAACCAGTGAGAGACCTACCGCTCAAGGAAATCCAGTTGATAGAGGCTAAATGATGCATAAAGAACTGTTATTCCTCTCTGTATCGCCAGAACCTGCCTGACGTCTAACACTTAGTAGGGGCCCAGTAAGTGTTTCACATGAGAGGAGAAAAGGCTGAAATGGATCATCTCCAGGTGCCTTCCAATTCTAAAATGGAAGGTCAGGGGATGCTTCTGCTCTCGAATTAGTTCAAAGTATGATTGACAAGACAAGGCCCAGAGCCTGATGTTTGCTGCTGAATTTAAGGCCTTCAAAAGAGGAGCGTAAGGACTAAAACAGAAAGACTGATGTCATCCATAGCCCACAAACTGGCAAACAAAGACAACGTCACAAGACAACAAAAACAATGCTGAGAGCTTTCAAATATCATTAGAGAACTTTTCAGAGTTCCTGTGGGTATACATTACATTTCTAAAGTTTTTAATTAAAGGCAAGATTAGACATGTGTTGTCATTCTCATACTTATATAATCAGGAGACAAACTATAGTACCTCAGTGTGAATAATGTTACAGCGGGTTTCTTCCATCTTCAGCTGGTCTGGAGTTTTACAACCAGGAATTAAAAGCAACATATTGGAAGTATCTGCTATCTTCAAGTCATAGGTCTTGTCTTTACTGCACAGCACAGCCTGTTCATCTTTATCACCACGAATCACCATACTACAGGAAAATGGAAAAAGAAAATACATGATTTATTGATATGCCAATGGACATCTTCATTATAAACTGTTCCCCGAATCCTCTAGGCCAGTGGTCGGCAAACTGCGGCTCTTTGGCCCCTTGAGTGTGGCTCTTCCACAAAATACCACGTGCGGGCGTGCACGTACAGTGCGATTGAAACTTCGTGGCCCATGCGCAGAAGTCGGTATTTTGTGGAAGAGCCACACTTAAGGGGCCAAAGAGCCGCATGTGGCTCGTGAGCCGCAGTTTTCTGACCACTGCTCTAGGCTGATAGAATTCAAAATTTGTCATGATGCTCTCATAGGCCTCACACAATGATGGGCTCCACAGAGCAAGAACTGGGCCAATTGAGGGCCAGCAGGGCAGCAGGTGGCCTCACTAGGGAAAAATAACATGGACAAGAAAAAGCCAAAGAGGCCAAATGTTGCCCTAGCTGGTTTGACTCAGTGGCTAGAGCAGCAGCCTGTGGACTGAAGGGTCCCGTGTTTGATTCCAGTCAAGGGCACATGTCTAGGTTGTGGGCTCAATCCCGAGTAGGAGGCGTGCAGGAGGCAGCTGATCAATGATTCTTTTTCATCATTGATGTTTCTATCTCTCTCCCTCTCCCTTCCTCTCTGAAATCAATATAAATATATTTTTAAAAAGGAGGCCAAAAAAAAAAAAAAAAATAAAAAATAAATAAAAAATTTTAAAAAAAGGAGGCCAAATGTCTCCATATGGCATCATTGTGCAAACTAAGGGAAGAGCAAAAGACAAAGCATCCAGAAGCTTCAGTCAAGATGTTACAATTTTCTAAAACATGCGCAAGCAGTACTCCTCAAACTTATGTAGGAATATCTTTGGGAATCCTGCTAAAAAGCAGATGGGGATTCAATAGGTCTGGGGATGGGACCTAGAACTCTGCATTTGTAACAAGCTCCCAGATGATGTCCACGCTGCTGGTCCCAGATCCCATCCAAGAGTGGTCCTTCTTGTTTTGTTCCAAACAAAGGGGCACATCTTGGCCTAACCATCAGCTATGTCACAAAGAAATTGGGACCCTGTGAAAAGAAGGCTACGATGCTGAATACAAAATATGAAGATATGTTTACAAACTGGTCTAAATAAAGTCTCTGATAAAGGGTCACAGGTGGAAAAAAGCAGCAGGAAGGGAGAGGGAAAGGATAAAAAGTGAGGAGGAGGAAAAAGAAAGACCAAACACAAAGATGCTGAAATGGCAACAAGAGAATTGGTTCTAGCAGGGTTCCTCATCTGTAAAGCATTTAACCCTCCTGCATACAATCCACTTCTTTTAAAGAATTTAAAAACCTGAAATAGAAGCCTGTATAAATATTTTTAAACTAAGCCTCTGTTTAAGTGAAAAGAATAAAAGGTTTCTATAGCCTCCTGGTGCTAATAACATTTAATACTCCCAAGTACCTATTCTGTTTATTTCTACACTAGAGGCCCAGTGCATGAATTCGTGCATGGGTGGAGTCCGGTCAGTGGATCAGTGGTTCGGCCTGCAGACCAAAGGGTCCCTGATCGGGGTGTTGGGGGCCAGGTTGGCCATGGAGGGGGAGGGGGATTGGGGCCTGGATCAGGCTGGTTGGCTGCCGCAGTGCGTGTCATAGCCACCAGTCCTTCTGGTCATTCTGGTTATTCACAGTTCCGGTCGCTGGGCTCTTATATATATGGATTGCACTAGCCCTGCTTTGTAATATTTTGTTTAGAACTATCCCCCCCTCACTCACATGCACACACAAATTTTAAAATTCACATTTCCAGGTTTCTGTTTTTCTGGGTTTTGCCAGGTAGGTTAATTATAACTGGGCAAAGAGAAGGTCCTCACATCTGAAGTCCTTTCTCAAATCCCTGCCAACTCAGTGGGGATGAAAACCCATGAGTGAAGTTCTCCATCAGGTCCCTTAAAGAAACTTAGTGGCCAGCATCTGGAGACTGTCCATCTATAATAATAAAAGCGTAATATGCTAATTAGACCAGACAGCTGAACAACCTTCCGGACATCCCTCCTGACAACCTCCTGGACGAAGCTGGGACTGCGAGGGCCGAGCCCCTTGCATGAATTTCATGCATCGGCCTCTAGTTGAACTATAATATTGCTTGATGGGTGAAGCATGAGAACTGAAGGACAGCTAAAGGATTCAATTTAAAGGAACCTACAAGAGAACAAACTAATATAATAAAATACAGGTATTGGAGGAACCTATAATGCAGAAGAGATTCAAGCCACAGCTTGTAATCCTAACTTGCAGGAGTTGGGACTGCACAAAATTGAGCGATAAATAAAGAAAAAAGGGATAAAAAAAAAAAAAAAAACTAAAGAAAAAGGCCCTAGCTGATTGGCTCAGTGGATCGGCCTGCAGACCAAAGAGTCCCGGGTTCGATTCTGGTCAAGGGCATTTAAGTTGGTTGCAGGCTCCTCCCTGGCCCTGATCAGGGCTGATGAAGGAGGTAATATCCTTGTGTCTCTTTCACATCAATATTTCTCTCTGTCTTTCCCTCTCGCTTCCACTCTTTCTAAAAATCAATGGAAAAATATCCTTGGGTGAGGATTAAAAAGAAAAAAGAAAAAAAACTAAAGGAAAAGAATAATTCTCTAGACTTCTCCTTTAAAAAAAATTTATCGATTTCAGAGAGGAAGGGAAAGGGAGATAGAAACATCAGTGATGAGAGAATCATTGATCGGCTGCCTTCTGCACGCCTCCTCCTGGGAATCGAGCCTGCAACCCAGGCATGTGCCCTGACCTGACCTCCTGGTTCATGGTCGATGCTCAACCACTGAGCGACACCAGCCAGGCTGTTAAAATGGCTTTAGATGTATTCCCTACAGTCCCACCTATTATCTGAATAAAATATATATAAGTAGAAGGGAGGAAGAACTCTATAGACATTAGCTATTACCATCAGATTTCAAGGTAGAAGGTCCAAAGGTTCTCTGCAGTCCCTGGCATCACTGTTAATATTGTCAAAACCTCACTTAGGTTCTACATGTTTCCTCGGCTGTTTCCGCTGACACAGGCCTGCAAGACCAGCTGGAGCAGTCCTATGGGTCACACCATCCAGCTCACTGCACGGCCTAGCAGTGGCGTGGAACCCTAGGGAAAAGACAGCGAGCTGGGGATCCGGCCACCAATCCGCTGTGAGCCTCCCCCCCCCCCCCCCCCACGGCAAATAAATGCACCTCTCTGGCCAAGATCCCCATCAGAGAAAATCAGGAGGCGCGGCGCCCGGCTCACCTGCACCCCGCCTCCAGCTGCTGGCACAGCGCGGGCTCCAGCTCCAGGAGGCAGAAGTCGCCGGCGGCCGCGCTGGCCCCCGGGCCGAAGCCCAGGCACTGCACGGCGGGCAGCAGCTCCGCGGGGTTCAGCTTGGCGATCTGCAGCGTCGCGTCCACCTCGTCGCGGGTCCTCCTCATGGCTGCGCGGGGTTGGGGGGCCGCAGAATTAGAAACTAGAACTAAATCTCCCGAGCTGCCGCGACTCGGAAATTTACACGGAACCAAGCTGTTTCTAAAGCGCGCCAAAGTGGCTGGCGGCGTGTTTCCGGGGCGGAGCGCGCTGCGGGCGCATCCCCGGGGAGGTCCCAAAGCCGCTGCGTGCGCCAGCCCGGCTGCTGCCAGGTCTCTGCTGGGCGAGCCCGCGATGTTGCAAAGAAACACTTTCGTTTTTCCGGGGTCATCTCGGTGGAAGCTTTGGCGGCAGAGCTGCGACCCCGCGGCGTGCCACGCGGAACCCTTACCCACCCCTCCCGATGCCCCTCTTATTTACCGACAATACTCCGTTTCCTAGCCTGCAAAATAGTCTCATCTTCTGCTAGTGGTGGGCCTTGAAATAGCACTTTGCACGCATAATTTCATAAACCACAATCCTGTAAAATGGGCCCTCAGTCATCCCGTTTTGCAAATGAGGGAGCAAGCTCCTTGCCTGTGGTTGTACAGCCAAGAGGTGGCAAAGTCTGCTTCCAGCCCAGGCTATGGCTCTAAAACCATCCTGCTGGGTTTGGTGCAAACACTGTGGACCGGGAGCTAGGCCCTGGTGGAATTTATTTGGATCTGGGGACCTTCATATCATATCTAGGAGACACCATCCGTTGGTTGAGTACCTAGTCTGTGCTGGATGGCAAGTTGGGACCAGTGTCAAGAGGAAGCCAACATTTCTGGTGGTCAGAAGGCCCTGCATTTGCCTGCAGTAGACAGGCAAACTCACCCTGTAAGATGTGTAAACCTCCCACTATGTGTTCTCTAAGGCAAGATCTTACAGTAACCGGAATACAAACTTTTAAGAGAAGAGCTCATCATCCCATATAGTAAAAGGCTAATAAGCAAATAGATGGAATGGCGGAATGACCGGTTGCTATGGCGCACACTGACCACCAGGGAGCAGATCTGGGCTCATGGCTGGCAAGCGCAGGGGCGGCAGCGCTAAGGACCCCTCAGGGAATGTCTGCCTGCCTGCTTAGGCCTGTCCCCTAAGCCAGCAGGTGGACATCCCCCGAGGGGTCCTGGACTGTGAGAGAGTGCAGGCAAGCTGAGGGACCCCCCTTCCAGTGCACAAATGTCGTGCACCAGGCCTCTAGTATGCATATAAGTTCCCCGATTAATCTCTCCTCCACATCCCTAAACCCCCACAGCACCCACATCCCCACCTTCCCTCTGAAATTCCTCAGTCTGTTCCATGGTTCTATGTCTCTGTATCTATTTTGTTCATCCATTTATTTTGTTCATTAGTTTCCACACATGAGTGAGATGTGATACTTATCTTTCTCTGACTGGCTTATTTCACTTAGCACAATATTCTCCAGGTCCGTCCATGCTATTGCAAATGGTAAGAGTTCATTCTTTTTCTACTGCCACATAGTATTCCATTGTGTAAATGTACCACAGCTTTTTTATCCACTCATCTGCTGATGGGCACTTGGGCTGTTTCCAAATCTTAGCTATTATAAATTGTGCAGATATGCTTTTATTGTTTCTAAGACTGTAAAGCTATAAAGTTTACTAGGATATGATTTAGGTCATCATTAAGCAGAGCACCCAGCATATAATGGATCTTCATATACATGTTTGCTGAACAATTGAATGAATGAATTGTAATAAAGTTTACTTCTAAGAAGGGGAGTGGAAGAGGACATCAAAAGAGATTTTTGATTTATCTTTAATGTATAGGTTTTAACACTGAGCATATTCATGCATTAAATGTGTAATTAAACACACTAAAAATATTTTCCTCCGTATTACAAAACCCAATGTTCAGACAAACAACTTCAAATGCACAGATGATAAATCATTCATGAATAGAGTAGAGAGAGAAAGGGAGGGAAAAGGGAGAAAGCAAGAGTTGCTCATTTTATTTTGTGGCACATATTTAAGGGAAACAAGAGTAAAAGGAGACCAGTAAGAGCCCAAATGAATGATGAAGGTGGCTGGGTATGAGAAATAATTTTTTAAATAGAATGGGCAACAGTGGCTATTTGATTCGGCATGAGGATTAGGAGAGGGGAAAGAGGCAATGATGAATTCTAGATTCCTGTATGGGCATTTCCTGCCATGTACAACATAGTATAAGAAGGATAGGAACAGATTGGGGTGAGATGGAATGAGTTCTGGTTTTGATATGTGGAGATGGAGAGGCCATGGGAATATACAGGTGAGGACATGCCTTGGACTTCGATCTAGAGATGATGCAGGTTTTCTGGGGCTCCAAGGACCTGAGGGTCTGTGACCCGCTGTGGGTTCTTGACTTCTCACAGGAAAGAATTCAAATATGAGCCAGCATAGAGTTTAAAGTGAAAGTGAGTTTATTAGTGAAGCAGTGAGACTGAGAATAGGCCACTCCACAGACAGAGTAGCCCCCTTTAGCGGAATTTGCTTCCTTTATTGAGGTTCATTTAATCAAGAGTAGAGTATTCAATAAAGGGAAGGAATATGCAGGATCTGCCTGGGCAAGAGGCAGTGATTTCGCAGAGGAGCTCTGCAGGCCATTTTGTGTCCTTATATGGGCTTTTCATTTCTGATCATGGCTGAGAGGGATGTGTCATTTAGCATGCTAATATATTAAGTGGGTGTATAATGAGGCTAGGGGTTACCATGAGGTGAAATCAGTCACCACGTTGGATTGAACTTCTGGTTTTAGGTTATAAATTGGTGTTCTGGGGGTGGTCTTACTTCTTTTTTTTTTTTTTAAATATATTTTATTGATATTTTACAGAGAGGAAGGGAGAGAGATAGAGAGTTAGAAACATCGATGAGAGAGAAACATCGATCAGCTGCCTCCTGCACATCTCCTACTGGGGATATGCCCGCAACCCAGGTACATGCCCTTGACCGGAACCGAACCTGGGACCTTTCAGTCCACAGGCCGACGCTCTGCTCTATCCACTGAGCCAAACCGGTTTCGGCTGGTCTTACTTCTTGATAGTTCCAGTAGCTTTTATTGATTGCAGCTGTTCTGCCACAGACCCTATCTCAGAGCTTGGAATTTGAATAAAGGTGTGGCCAGGAACTAGAAGATAAAGCTTTTATTTTATTTTTAACATTTTCACATTCCTAGAAAATCCTTTTTCTTTTTTTGTTAATTCTCACTAGAGGATATTTTTTTCCATTAATTTTAGAAAGAGTAGAAGGGATGGGGAGAGACAGAGAGAAAGAAACATCCATGTGAGAGACACATTCATTGGTTGCCTCCTGCATGCACATCGAATCCTTGACCCTCCCAACCACTGTGCCAAACCGGCTAAGGCTAAAAATAAAGGTTTTAAATGCTTGTATAGGGTAGTAATAATTGTGCCTATGAATGAGATCACCCAGGAAGAGGGTGACGTACAACTGAACACTGGGCTGAAAATGAAGGTTTACCAACATTTGAGGTGGGAGGAAAAATAGAATAAAGTAGCGTCTTGGAAACTATATTACCTTATGTTTACATAAATTACTCTGGATAAAGAAGTTCTGATTTACAAGATTCATTTAATTCTATGGGAAATAAGTTAAATTCTAACTTCCTTTGTTAAATAAGCCTTAAAGGCGTTGCTTATAAAACAAGCAGAATTTTCTCCACTAGATGGTGGTATTGTTTTGTTTCACAGAAACACTGCCCTAGAAAAGTGAAGGAATATCAAATATTTACTGAACTTCGTACCCTATATATATTATCTCATCCAATCCCTACAATAGTATAAGTCAGATCATGACAATCTTTGTTCAAAATCCCCCAGTGGATTCATATCTTTAGAGTTAAAAAGAAAAGTCCTTACTAAGGCCCTTAAAACCTTATACAATCTCTATTGTAATCCCTCCCCCACATTCTCTAAATTCATAGGCTACACTTCTGCCTCAAGGCTATTCTGTTTTTAAAACAACCTGATTGAGATATAAATTAAGTAAAATAAACTGCACCTATTTAAAGGGTATAATTTAATGACTTGACAAATGCAGATCATTCTCATTGAGGCAGGATAGGGAGAAGCCAGGAAAATTCCTTGGCAGGTGGAATGGGGAAACAGATAGCTTATTCAAACTGGCCTCAGGCAGCACCCTACTCACCTGCCTTCTATACCCTTGCAGGGCCACTCCCTTAAGCATCAAGCCCTCAGCACAATGAGGTTCTGATCAGCATCAAATAATCTTAGGAACAAAGCCTTTGATCTGTTGACCCCAGACACAGAGTTTTGCTCAAACTACAAATAATATCTAGGCCTTGTGTTTCAGATCCAGGCCCAGAAAAGCAGCAAAACCGGATGAAGCGATGCTGTGGTTGACCTCAGGACCAGATGCATTTACCAATGACTAGCGCCAACCAATCAGTAGGGACCACACCCTGACTCAATACACTCATTTTGGTGAATCAGCGTATTAAAGGACACACCTGTAAAGCTGATGAATATTCTATTGAGATCCTACCTTGAGGCTCCCCTAAAATTCTAGCCTTTAGGAAACTGATAAAAACCCTAAGACAACAGACACTGCACATGCTCTCCCTGAAGCATGCCCCTGCCTTCTTTCTCCTAAGCTCTAAAGTTCCCACAAGACTTAAAACCAGGGGAGCAGTGGGCAGCTCCAACTTGTCACTGGCTAACCCCCCTGAACCTGGTTCCAAGGTCTCTTCTTTGCCTCTGTAACTTGATTCCTGAGACCACATAGGCCAGCTGTCTCACTTCTGCCTCTGAGACTTTCTTTCTGAGCAGTCCACTTGAATCTTCTCTTCCAGTGTATTTTTGCTTTGTATGTTAAGTAAACTTCTTGTGTTACAGTTATTGGCTCTGAATTCTTTCTTTGCCACACTCAAGAACTGAGAGCCAACATCAGCAGTTACACTCATCACCCCAAAATTTTTCTTATGTCCCTTAGAAAAAGAAGGAATATTTATTAAATATGAACTGCTATGTACTTTGGGTTTGCTTTACTTTTTTTTCTAGTTTTTATTTTTTTAATCATTGATTTTAGGCCTTTCTTCTTTTCTAATATAAACAGTTAAAACTATAAATAAATTGCCAAAACCAGTTTGTCTCGGTGGATAGAGCATCGGCCTGCGGACTGAAGGGTCCCGGGTTTGATTCCGGCCGGGGGCATGTGCCTTGGTTGTGGGCACATCCCCAGTGGGAGGTGTGTGGCAGGCGGCTGATCGATGTTTCTCTCTCATCGGTGTTTCTGACTCTCTATCCCTATCCCTTCCTCTCTGTAAAAAATCAATAAAAATATATTTAAAAAACAAACAAACAAAAAAAAACTATAAATCTTCCTCTAATCTCTGTTTTAGTGGTATCCCACAAATTTTGAAACATTATCTTTAATTATCACCCGTTTGAAATATTTCCTAATTCTGTTTGTAATTACTTTTCCCCCTGAGTTGTTTAGGAGTGAGTTGTATTTCCAGATATTTGTGATTTCCTAGGTTGTTTCTGAGGGGCAGTAGAGTGTATCATCCAAAAATATGACTCTTTCAGATATTAATTATTTTAAGCTGATTACTTTTAAGAAACAAAATACTCAGAAAGAACCTTTGATCTTCCCCCTAAAAAGAATTTAGATAAAGGATGAGGACCTGCTTAATGAAGGGAGATATCATCATAGATAACTATCCAGGGGTGGGCAAACTTTTTGACTCCAGGGCCACAATGGGTTCTTAAACTAGACCTGAGGGCCGGGAACAAAAGCATGGATGGAGTGTTTGTGTGAACTAATATAAATTCAAAGTAAACATCATTACATAAAAGGGTACGGTCTTTTTTTTTTTTTTTTTTTTTTTAGTTTTATTCATTTCAAACTGGCCGGATCAGGCCCGCAGTTTGCCCACGGCTGGCTTAACCTGAACTAGTGTGTGATAAACAGGGAGGAACCTAGCAAAGCCTTTTATCAAAGTCTTCTCTGTGTCCCATTGTTTCAAAATGACCCAACAAACATTTGTTTACTAAACTTTAACTCTTTACTCATCTCCTTTTAAATTGACTTCCTTTTGAAGTCCTAGACCCCTATCGTCCCCCTCTTTAGTTCAGAATGACAGATATACCTCATTATGCTTCACTTTCTGGTGAATTTTAATGTGAAGTCCTTGTGATTTTCTCCTGTTAATATGCCTTATTTGGCCAGCCAGCAGAACAAAGAGGAAATGGGCAAAGTTCTCCTATCATTGCTTTGTTTGTTATTTTTTAGAAATTTATTAATTATTAGAGAGAGACAGGAAGAGAAGGAGAGAGAGAGGGGAAAAAACATTGATTTGTTATGCAGTCATCATTGGTTGAATCTTGTATGTGTTCTGACCTGGGATCCAACCTGAAACCTAGGCATGTGTCCTGGCTGGGAATTGAACCCAAGACCCTTTAATGTATGGGCCAACACTCCATCCAACTGAACCACATCAGCCAGGGCAGCTTTGTGTGTTATTTTATTTTATTTGTTTTTTATTGTATGTGTGCGTGTGTGTGTGATTTTAAAATTTCATTTTTATTTTATTTTGCTAGTATCAGTCTTTAATGGATTGAATACACACACACACACATATGCACACACACACACACACACACACACACACACACACACACACACATATATACTCCTGGTCCCTCCCCACCAAAGTTTGAGAAGCACTGGTTCCAGAGCACAGAAACAGCCAGAAGGCATGAAGGAGATAAGTCAGGTGAGCTGGAAGAGAAGGCATACATTTAATAGTTTCTACCTGTGACAAGTGCACTCATTAAGTTGTACTTAATAATCTCAGCAACCCCATGGGATTGGTGATATAGTCCCTTTATTTAAAATATTTTTTTATTGATTTCAGAGAGGAAGGGAGGAGAGAGAAAGAGAGAGAAACATTAATGATGAGAGAGAGAGAGAGTCATTGATCAGCTGCCTCCTGCACGTCTGCCACCAGGGATCAAGCCCGCAACCCAGGGCATGTGCCCTTGACCGGAATTGAGCCTGGGACCCTTCAGTCTGCAGGCTGGTGCTCTATCCACTGAGCAAAACTGGCTAGAGCAGTGGTATAGTCTTAACTTTACAAAGGAGGACAAAAAAAAACTCAGAGAAGATAATGAACTCGCCCCAATGGAGCCAGGAATCAAACCGGGCTGTCTTTGAATTTTCAGTCCCTCTAAGATCTTCACATTGGATCAATTGTCCTGTCAGTGTGCTTCTCTTGTCTATCAATACCTATGATCATAGTTCATTCTGGGACCAGCTATTCCAGAGCCCACGGTCCTGCATTGCTTCTCACATGTCCTCAGCAGTCAGTTCACTCATCTTTTACTAAGAAAAAGAGTCTGTTTTCTAACCCAATGGAGCATGGTGTGTCTCATATGTCAAAAAGAAAGGTTAAAACAATATCAGCAACCACTTCCCCATTTCCCATCCACACGCACACACACACACACACACACACACACACAAACTTTGCAAACATGTAAAATAAGTTCTGCTCTCTCCCTCTCACTGGAGTAATCAGGTATTTTCCTGACTTGAATTGCTTTCCCTTTTGTTAATGTGCTTTTAAAAAAATAATAGTTTATTTTTATCATAAACTTTTATGATGAGTTTTTTTTATCAAAAACTTTTTCTCAGAAACTATTAATCAAGAAAGCATTTTACAAGACATTTTTTATTTTTATTTTTCAAATAAAGAAAGATGCCCGAATTCAAATGAAAACACGAGTAGATTTAAAAGGGAGAAAAAAAATCAAAGATATTCATGATAGTGATATGATTTACAATGGGAGGCAGAGCTTTTGGATAAAACAAAGTGTTGCTTGAACAATGAATACTTAGACATGTGTACCAATTTAATGCCTTTTCATTCTGCAATTTCAAAAAGCTTAAAATCATTAAATTAAATAGAGATTTAGTGGGGCCAGGTCTTCTCTTTTCTTCATTTTGAAGGACTAATAATTAAAAAATTAATTAGAGGTAACTTGAGAAAAAAGGTTTTGTCTAGCATCATAAAGAGAACAGCTATTGAACACATTTAGTATACATGAAAACTTTACATAATGTTATTTAATTTAAGCCACATAACATCCCAAAAGGTAGGTATTTTTTTTTATCCTGCTTTATTGATAGGAAATAGAGGTCCAGGGAAGTTAAGTAACTAGCATAAGGCTTCGAAGTTAGTAATGACGAGATCAGAAGAGAAACTGCATGTGTGAGTGTGAAGCCCATGCAAACTCTTGATATTCTATTTTACAGGATTAAAATATAAGCAAAAAACAGCTGTTAAACTCATTAACTCTGGGATGTCTACTTTGCTAAATTACTTTATTTGATGCAGAATGAGGCTCTTAGAATCACATTCACTGGGAACTTTTTCTCACTTTGTTTACATGTTTGCATTGGACTATTTAAAAAGTTAAGAAATGTAGATAATTTCTTTTGGCAAAAGAGTTGCCTAATACTCATTGTTAAATTCAGGAGGCAATTGGACAATTGTTCTTCTTCTGCAGTGTGGTTGAGGATGGGAATCTACAGAAGTAGGGTTTGAGGGCTGTGCAACTTTTTAGGTGTGATATTTAGGCAAACTAGTTCATCTTTCTATGCCTAAGCCTTTCCTTTGTAAATTGACATTATAAATACCTAACTCTCAGGCTTTTTGTGAGAACAAATTAAATAATATAAACAAAGTGCTTAGCACCATATAAAGCACAGAATAAATGTTCAATGAATTGTTGCAAATTTTAAGTTAATTTAAGTAGTGATCTTGCAACATGTTGGAAAAGGCTTTAGTGATCTTTAAAAACAAAATGCTAATAACAAAACCAAACAAAAAAAGCAGTAAGCTTTCAACACAAGAGTACAAATACTTGAATAGCAGAACTGATATAAAATATACCAAAGAAGAGCAGTTGATTTTTAGCAGCCCTCTCATTTTCATTTTTATCTTGTAGACTTCTACTACATATAGGCAACTGAGAGATCATGTTTTGCAAGATATTGCTAATTTAAAAAAATAGTTTCACATTTATTTGTTGTAAGGGTGCAGATATTTGTATTTATGCAAATACTGTAACAAACTGCACAAACCTTCAATACACAGATAGTCTTTTACTACAACAATGACTGCTGCCATTACCATTACTCGGGTTTTCCTGTAGACCAGGCTCTGACCCTGCATGAGACATGAAAACAGGACACTTGGCATTAGTCAAAGTTCCTTCCCTATTCCCTGAAAGGTTGACAATACCATTAAATCCCTATTTTAAGAGGCAATCTTCTTTAAAAAAAAAAATTTTTAATTGATTTCATAGAGGAAGAGGAAGGGAGGGAAGATAGAAACATCAATGATGAGAGAGAATCATTGATCGGTTGCCTCCTGCATGCTCCACAATGGGGATAGAGCCTGCAACCCGGGCATATGCCCTTGACCGGAATAGAAGCTGGGACACTTCAATCCGCAGGCCTACTCTCTATCCACTGAGGCAAACCAGCTAGGACTAAGAGGCAATCTTTTAAGCACACAACTTTGAAGCCAGAATGTCCTGGGTTTGATTCTTACTTCCTGCACTTAGCTGCTAGCCTTGGACAAGTTTCTCGATTTCTCTGAGCCTGCTTCTGGATATAAAATGAAGACAATATCCATTTTATGGCTTTTTTGCATTAATTAAGGAAGGTAACAATTACCTGAAGCATCTTTAATGCAACACCTCTCAACAAGTGGTACCCACAATTATTTTTATTTTGTAAAATTGGAAACTGAGAATTATTTGTAGGCGTGGAGCTGGATCCCAGATCTGTCTGATTCTTAGGCCAGCGTTCTTTATTGATTACAACATAAGATAAGTAAATTGTCTTTGATAAAGGGGATTAGGGGAAAAAATACTTAATTTCTCCATGCCCTGCAGTGACCTGTAGATTCTTTATCGTTCACTATTTAGCTATACTGTTAATTTTTTTTTACTTTTTAGCAATTTGGGGCATGGAAAGTATAGTCAAAATACCTTCACACTTGTTTAGTAACCTCCCAGCCTGTCCTCAGGGTCCCACAGCAGAAGCTCACCTAATTCAACCTTCACCAGTGCACAAAACGCACCAACGGTGCCCCGCCCAGATGTTTATATTTTCCTCCCTCGGCCACGCCCCCCGACCACGCGGGGCTCCGGCCACGCCCCCAAGCTGGAGTTCCAGGAACAGACTTGCCTAGCACCTCAGCCTGCCCACAGGGATTCCCTTTCCAGCCAATCGCGCGTGAGCAACGGGATTGCCCCTAACAAATATGGCGGGCGAGGCCTCGCTGAGGGCAGTCTGATTTAACACCCAAACCCGGCGGCCAGCGAAGCCAGTGGTAGCGACGCGGCCCCGAGCATGGAGGGCGGCAGCGCGGGCAGCGGCGGCAGCGACAGCAGCCCCAGCGGGAGTGGCGGGGCGCAGCAGAGGGAGCTGGAGCGCATGGCTGAGGTCCTGGTCACCGGGGAGCAACTACGGTAAGGCGTGGGGCAGTGCCGGTGGGCTCGCGGGGGCAGTGCCAACCTGTGCCCGCAGCAGTCCCGCGCGCACGCGCCGTGGCTCGTGGCTTGTGACTCGCGTGGGGCTCCGGCGTGGCTGCGGGCGCGTGGATCGTCCCGCGTGGCGTCCTGCGGCACCGGCGCCGGGTTCTAGAGGCGGACGCAGGCGAGCGGGTGGTGCGCCCAGCGCCCTCAGACGCGCTATTGCCCACTGCGCGCGCTCCCTCTTCCCAGCCTCCTGGGCGCTGCCAGGCCTCCCGGTTGACAGCCGGTACCCAATCCGCCTAAAGAGCCAGAGGGGTCAATGTGGGGCCCCTCAGTGGCCCCAGCCCCATCTCTTCACTCCTAGGAAAAAGGAACCTGTCCAACGATCGTCTCCATTTAAGGTTTTCTTTTTTTGCTGGCAAGTCTTGCTTCACTTCCCCGAGCCTCAGCATTTCGCCTTTAAAATGGAGCTGATCACGGCGACTCTCTTGAAAGGTGGTGTGAGGGTTAAACTGAGAACATTTTTGAGAGACTGTACCTATCCTGAAGTAGGCAAGTCCTCCTCAGCCGTCATTTAGGTCCGCAAGGGGGCGTGGAGGCACCTTGTCCCGCTGCCCTGCTGCGGAGTCAACTCCCCCAGCGCGCACATTTTGGGCTGCTGAGTCCATTGGCCTGGCTGCTGCAAGAACTAGGATTTGAAGGGTCTCACCCAGGACAGGCAGTTTCCCCCCAAAACTAACCCCACTTTACCATTCCCATCTCATCCTGGACCTTCTTCTTGGATGCATGTTTGAGAATTGCACTTATGGTCTGACCGGTTCTGCAGCTGCCCTTCTTGGGGTCGTAAATCAGTTTGCTGGGGAAAAAACCCTGGTTCTGCAGCATTTGAGCCACAAGTTGCCTGCCAGTCTCTAGCCCTGGGGGAACGACGCGCACACTGGTTCCTTCTAGTTCTTGATTTGAATCTCCAGGCTCCTTATGGTTTTCTAAATGCTGGGTTTCAGATATGAAGGAGAGAACATCTTGCAGAGATTCCTAAGATTTGGAAATCACCCTGCTTGCAGCACTTAGATTGAGGAAGTAAATATTGGAAGTCAGAATTGAGTTTAACGTTACAAAAACTGCCCATTTCTATTCCTTGATGATTTTTTAATGTATAGCCAAATTGAAGTGAACAAAACCTTGTTTCCCTTCATCAAGAATATTTCTCCTGGAAAAATTAAAACACAGTAAAGATTTTATAATTCAATCTGAAACTACATAGTCTTTTTAAAGTCCTCAATTGGATACATATACTTTCCTTTAAAATAATAAATTGCAAAAAAATAAAGAAAGAAAAGAAAATGATAAATTGCATGGTGCCTGCCTTCATCCAATACTTACTTTGACTTTCAAAATGTAGCTTAAATGCTCCTTTCTGGAGGGTCCCCAGGAGTCTTTACTCCCATCCTCCCTAGCACCACTCCATACTACAGCAGGTAGGAGGGCCATACTTAGCATGTTGGTAAGAAGATAGAGGGTTCTCTCTCACTCAAGAGTTAGACTGGGTTTGAATTTTGCTCTGCTACTTCTTAGCCAAGAGACAGCATTTTGTTTTGATAATGACTTTAAGCCAGTGTGAGTCCTGGGTTTGCCACTTACTAGAGTGGGATCCTGGACCAGTTTCTTAACTAAGAATGATGAGTAATAATGGAACCTACCTCATAGTGCTGTTTGGGGATTAAATAAATTAGTGCTTAGAACAGTGCCTGGTATATATGTAGTAAGCACCAGAACTGCATTAACTATTATAGCTCTGCAACCGTGGACAAGTTAATTTACTTCTTTGAAACTCTTTCCTCCTCTGAAATGGTAATGAAGGTAAGTACTTCTTGGACTTGTGAGAATTTGCCCCTGGGCTCCAAGTATTAATGAACATTCAACAAATGGTTGCTGGAATTAATTAGTATTATTAGTCTCTGTGTGTCACCACATGTGACTTCCAGCCAAACAAGGTCTGGCAGGGAGGACTGGGTGGTGGTGAAGATCGCAGGTATAGAAACAGGCTGCCTAGGCTCTTATTCTGCCTCTGCCTTTTACTAGTGACTTTGGGACAATGTACTTCACTTCTCCATGCCTCAATTCCATTCCTTTTGCAAGAATTTTGTGGGGATTAAATGAGATGCTATATATAAAAGGCTTAGTAAATGTTAGCTATTTATAGTCATTGCTTTTTCAAAAATCTCACCTGAAGATATATTTTCATTGATTTTTTTTCTTTTTTTTTTTTAGAGCAAGTGGAAGTGGGTGGAGAGAGAGAGCAAAAGATAGAGATAAACATCAGTGTGAGAGAGAAACATCCATAGGTTGCCTCCTGTATGCGCCCTGACTGGGCATGGAACCTCAACCTAGGTATGTGCCCTGCCCTGGAATTGTCCTGCAACCTTTTGGTGTATGGGATAACGTTCCAACCAACTGAGCCACCTGACCAGGCCTATAGTCATTGCTTTTTAAAGTCTCATCTTAGCACTGTGCCTGGAACATAATAATTACTCAATAAATATTTGAATGACTAGTGTGTGTAATTAAATATACTACTGTAAATACAGTTAATATAATGTCCAGCCCAGCTGGCATGGCTCAGTGGTTGAGCGTGGACCTATGAACCAGGAGGTCACGGTTCAGTTCCTGGTCAGGGCACATGCCGGGGTTTCAGGCTCAGTCCCCAGTGTGGGGCGTGCAGGAGGCAGCCGATCAATGGTTCTCTGTCATCATTGATGTTTTTATCTCTCCCTCTCCCTTCCTCTCTGAAATCCAGAATTTAGGGATTTAAGTGGCTTTTGGCCCTGGCTTCTTGCCTCATAAAGGAGTGGGCATGCAGCCATCCTTGCTGTCACTGTCACACTTGATGTTACGCCCCTGGCTGCTCTCTCACCGTCTGATTGTGGGGACTTTGTGATGTGCAGCTTTCCGACCTCAAATTGCTTCACACATACACAAATTCTTCTTTGCCTTTTTGCTTATTCATTACTCTCTGCGCCACCAAAGATGAGGTAAGAAAAGAGGAAACTAAGGATTGGGATTTGAAATACAACAATTGGTTTCCTCTGGCCAGTGTGGCTCGGTTGGAGCGTCGTTCTCTACAAGAGAAGGCGGTGGATTGGATTCCTAGTCAGAGCACATGCCCAATTTGTGGGTTCGATCCCTGGTTGGGCACATGTGGGAGGCAACTGATCAATGTTTTTCACATCAATGTTTCTCTTTCTTTCTCTCTGAAGTCAATAAAAAGTTGGCTTCCAGGCCCAGCTCTGTGAGTTTTATTTATTTATTATTTATGTATGTATGTACATATTATTTTTAATTATCTTTCTGGGGGACAAGTCAATTAGGCATTCTGAGTCTTAGTGCTCTTACCTGAAGAATGGGAATAATGATATCCTCCCATATAAGGTTTGTGGTATTGGATCCAATGGAATATAACATGGAAAGGAACATAGCGAAATAAATCAATACACTGATGAGTTGTTATGATTATTATAAGCTCCATAGGTGAAATGAGGACTGTCCACACTCCTGACCCTTTGGATAGAGCAGGTGGTTGTCCGAGGACATGCAATCAAGTAACAGACTTAAAATCATTTCCTGCTTCCTTTCCCAGCCTGACCGAGGGCTTCTTTTCCTAATCTCTTCATGCTTCCCCTTGTCTAAAATGCTGTCTTCCTCACCCAATGTATTTTCATGTTTTTACATCTAAAAAATGCATTTGGATACCACTTCACATTGCCAGGATGGCGATAATAAAAAAACACAAAACACATAATAATAAGTGTTGGCAAGGATATGGGGAAATTGGAACCCTTGTACAGTGCTGGTGGGAAGGTAAAATGATGCAACCACTTTGAAAAATAGCATGGAATTTTCTTAAAGATTAAACACGGAGTTACAACATGACTCAGCAGTTTTACTCATATATATATATATATATTTTCAAGAGAAATGAAAATGTATGTCTGCATAAAAATTTGTAAACAAATTTTCACAGCAGCATCTATATATGTAAAAGCCTAAGTGACCAAATGACCAGTTGACTGATCGCTATGACGCGCACTGACCACCAGGGGACAGAGGCTCAATGCACAGGATTGGGCTCTCTCCTGTCTGGATTGGGCCTGCAGGGATGGGGCCTGTGGAGATTTGGCCTGCAGGGATCAGGCTCCTCCTGTTTGGATCAGGCCTGTGGGGATTGGCCAAAACCGGCTATTCGAACATCCCGAGGGGTCCCAGATTGCGAGAGGATGCAGGCCAGGCCAAGGGACCCTACCCTGTGCACCAGGCCTCTGGTTGTACATAATAGCCAATCATAGAAATAACTCAAATGTCCATCAATTGATGAATGGATAAACAATGTGTGGTATATCCACTCAATGGGATAGCTTCTATACTAATAAAAGGGTAATATGCTAATTAGACCGGGGGAGACCTTCTGGGAGACATTCTCGATGTCCTTCTGGACAAAGTCATGGTGGCAGGGCTGAGGCAGAGGTGGTTAGGGACGATAAGGCCAGGAGGGGAGGGCAGTTGGGGGCGAGCAGGCCTGCAAGCAGGTAAGCAATTAGAAGCCAGTGGTCCCAGATTGCGAGAGGGATGTCCGACTGCCAGTTTAGGGATCAGGCCTAAGCCAGCAGTTGGACATCTCCTGAAGGGTTCCAGATTGGAGAGGGTGCAGGCTGGGCTGAGGGACACCCCCCCACACACACACACAAATTTCGTCACCAGGCCACTAGTCCAATATAATAAAAGGGTAATATGCAAATTGTCCCCTCTACCAGGAGTTCCACTAGGAGTTCGACCAGGGGGCAGGGCCCCCAAGCCAACTGCCCATACCCCCTCCCCCCAGCCGGCCCTGCCCATGATCCCACCATCTGTGCATGAATTTGTGCACCAGGCCTCTAGTTTGACAATAAAAAAAGTGCTGATATAATGCTACAACATGGAGGCCCTTGAAAACATTATGC